GAACATACTCCAGCTGTGGACCATCTCTGATTCGAATAGTATCTCTCTTCAAATCTGGCCCGGTTTCCATCATGCTTCTCCAAAATTTCCTCTTCGGAGTTGTAGCCTACTCGCAAACCTACTATCTACCTCTCTTTTTCCAAAACGCCCGCCTCCTCGCGCCTCTTATGTCAGCCTCCCTAATGCTGCCTATGACCGCCTCACAGATGGTTTCCTCCATCCTATCCGGTCAATACATATCCCGTAGAGAACGCTATGGCGAGGTAATCTGGCTAGGCTTCTTCCTTTGGACATTGGGCGTAGGGTTGACATGCATGTTCAATCTCTCCACGCCAATTTGGGCTATGGTTGTCATACTTGTCGTCCAGGGATTAGGGATTGGTGCCGTTTTTCAGCCCACATTGGTTGCAATACAAGCCCACTGTACTAAAGCCCAGCGTGCAGTCGTCATCTCGAACCGCAACTTCATTCGCAGTCTCGGCGGTGCTGTGGGTCTTGCAATCTCCGCTGCTGCATTGCAAAACTCTTTGCATAGTGCAATGCCAGCAGAATTCCGCTCATTATCGCTCTCTTCATACGACACAACCGACTTCAACTCCCTGAGCCCACGGCAAATACTGCAGATTCTGCAGGCGTACGCAACAGCGAGTCGGACGGTCTTCATCGTGAATGTACCATTCATGGGATTATGTTTACTTGGGTGCTTCTTCATTGAAGATAGAGGTCTGCAGAGGCCAGATGAAGTTGGAGAAGATGTGCAATTAAAAGAGAGACATGATGGTGGAGGTGGAGAGGTTGAAGTGAGCGGCGACAGAAGAGACCATGGGAACAGGATCAAAGAAGACGTTGTTGTGTTGTCACGGTGACAAATCACCTTGAACACCTTTCAGCGTTAAATTCGAGCGCGAGCGACGTTATGGTCTTACATAAAACTTCGTTCGTCACATACCCCTCCAGCTACTTGCCCTCTCCCACGCGAACGCCGCTTCATAAACACCCACTTCATCCCACCATTTTCCAATGACCTGCATGCTAACCGGTAAAACGACTCCCTTTTCCACTCCAGGGCCTTCCGTGACTGGCAACATACCAATCGGCATCGCCAACACTGGATGCCCACTCTGATTGAACGGCGCCGTGTTGGAAGTCAAGCCGATCTGCTTTCCAATCTGTTCGAGTGGTGTTGCATCAAAGCTCGCATGACTCGTTGCTACATACGGTAGTGTAGGTGTCAACAATATATCGTACTGTGCCAGAGCCGCGTCGTAAGCATCACGAAGCTGTCTTGATAGATTCGTCGCTTTCGCGAGGAGGTTGGGAAATTTTTGTGTAGCGTACAGACCGTTGAGGTAGATGTTCTTCGTAGATGCATATGCTTCGTTCCAGTTGTCCTGGCTCATGGGATGCAGCAATGAGTTCAGCTCGAGCATCTGGTGTCCGCGACGCCCGAACGAGCCTGTGGTTTTCCCGAGAAATCCACCGATTTTCGATATGCCATTCCATATCGCTGCTCCTTTTGAGTGCAGCGGTATCGAGATCTCGGTGACTGTGGCACCAAGGTCTTCGTACTTGGTGACTGCGGTGCGAAAGATTTGGATCACTCGTGGATCCAAGGCTGGTGTAGAGAGCGACTCAGTAATTATAGCGAATTGCTTGCCTTCCAAGGGTTTGTGCATTGGAGTATTCCTGATGGAACTGTAAATAGGTATCTTGGATGGGTGAGGTGCAGCGAAAGAACGATCGTCAATATTGTCCGTTCCGGCAATAGCTTCGAGAAGTACAGCGTTCTCCAATACTGTCCGTGTCATTGGACCAATGTGGTCGTTAGTAGGCTCGTTACTTCCACATCCGGTGTATGGCACAAGGCCAAAGGTAGGCTTTAGGCCAACAATACCACAGTTGGCGGCTGGCACACGGATACTACCACCCTGATCTGCGCCAATTGACCCATCGACCTCGCCCAATGCCACAAGAACAGCTGAGCCGCTCGAGCTTCCTCCAGCGCTATAGCCTTTTGCGAACGGATTTTCCACCACTCCAGTACTCGAAGAGTGGCTTGTTGCAGAATGGCACAAGTTCTCACAGACTGCTTTTCCGAGGATTTCACCGCCAGCTGCTAGGATTCGTGTAGTGACAGCTGCATCAACATTCGGAACATAGCCTTTGACGAAGTTCGTACCCAGTAGCATTGGTACGCCCTTGACGGCAATGTTGTCCTTCAAAGCGAACGTTTTGCCGTAAAGTTTACCGTCGCTCTTAGCTTCCTTGTCAACGATTCTGCACTTCCACGCCCATGCACCATGAGAATTCTCAGATGCTTGCGGGAAATGAACATCTTCTCTGGCAAAGCGTTCCTCATCGACTGGGGGGACATAGTCTATACATCAATGTCAGCTTCCGTCATGACTCGCGACGTGAACCACTATGTCCTACCGTCCATAGCCATTAGTAGTTCACTTGCATCGTGAAATGCGGCAAGTAAGCGTCGATAGTCCTGTTTCTCTTTCTCATCGATGCTGACCCCAAGCTGAGAGCATAGCGCCTCGAGAGTTTCTGTCGTGACAGGGTTGTCATGGCTGGTATCTAGCGAGAAAACCGACATCTCTGGTGAAACCGCAACGCTTTCAAGTAATCAGATCGCGATCGTTTGCCGATGCTACATGTTCGTCATACACTGAATTGCCAGGGGCACTCGGTTATTCATACTGGCAGGCCTGGTGCAGACCCACAGCGGCACTTGTTGATCTGCCATGACTTTAACACCTTGTGACAAATGTTCATTTGTAGCCTACCAGCCACTGATACGTACTTGCCGATATGTTCAGCCGTCTGAATGCTTGCAAGATTGTGTAGTGGAAGCCTCGAAGGAAAGATAACAGTAAAGCGGGGCAGGCGGAACGCTTATTCCCGAGGTCGATCGTCGGGAGAGTCACTTCCGATCAGCAAACAACGAACAGCGCGCCTTGTACCTGATAACTTTTCTGTGTTGTGATTGGTAAGAAACTGCTGATAAGAAATTGACAGGTGAAAAGGAACGGACTTGACGTGCAGTCAAAAGATTGTTAAGTCGTTCCTGGCTGGCTCAACTGTGGATAGCCTTGCGACTTGTACGTATTGACACCGATCTAAAATCCTACGCAGGTAGCATGCGTTGAATCTACGTTTACTCTTCCTCTTGTATTGTGTTCGTGACCGTGATATCGAATATCTATCTGTCATGGTTCACGTCGAAGAGTCTCTTCAACTCCCCAGAGACTTTGAAGGTGCGCTACCACACAATCTGCAGTTCTCCTCATACTGATCACTATTATAGGTTTTGGCGAAGATGGTCATGACGCACAATGGCCAAACGGCGCCCGCATAGCAGTTTCCTTTGTACTTAACTATGAAGAAGGTGGCGAGAGAAACCCCATGGATGGCGATGGCATTAGCGAACCCTACCTGTGGGAGAAAGGCCCTTCGGGCGGTGGCAGGGAACAGCGCCATTTGAACGGCGAGGTAAGTTCTGGCTGTACTAACTGCATTTGAGACATACACTGACTTCGTACGTCTACCTCTGCAGCAAGACTACGAATATGGTAGCAGGTGCGGCGCTTGGCGGATACTACGCCTTATGAAGGAGTTCGGCTGGAACATGACCCTGTGGGCCATTGCAGTGGCCATGGAGAGAAATCCTACGTTTGCAAAAGCTTGCGTAAGAGACGGCCATGAAATTGGGGCTCATGGGTATAGATGGCTAGACATATGGGACTATTCACTTGAAGACGATAAGGCGTATATCAAGAAGACATGCAAAGCCTTGGAAGCGGCAACTGGTACGTCCTACCCGATGCCAAACATCTTGTTCAATACTGACGCGCATACAGGCGAATTTCCGGTAGGAGCATACTTCGGCCGAGGCACGCCAAATACAGCCAGCCTGCTCCCAATCATGTGGAAAGAAATGGGTCACAAAATGCTCTACACATCGGAAGTTTATAATGAAGACTCGCCATATTGGATCGATCTTCCCTGGGAGAAGCAACTGCCTGAATCGGAGAAAGAGGGCCTGTTGATGATGCCGTACAACTACGATTGTAAGCCGCATCTCTACATGACAACATGGCCGATTTGATCTAGTAACATGATTTAGGCAACGACGGAAAGTTTCACATGCTCCCTGGTTTCGTAAGCTCAGCAGGTGCAGTGTACGAGCAGTATCTCAAGGATACGTTTGACTGCTTATACAGAGAAGGCGGTAAGATGATGACCATCCCTTTGCATTCTAGAATAGCTGGTAAGCCAGGAAGGTCGGAGAGTCTGAGAAACTTCATGAACTATATTTCAAGGAAGGAACATGTGTGGGTTGCGACACGCAGGGACATTGCGAAACACTATCGCGAGACTTTTCCTTATAAGTTTGGGTCGAAGACTGGTTGTTCATAGATCTCTTCGTACCTATGGATCTGGATCGAAATGATTATTTGGCCACGCGGATCATGGGCTAGAAGGTATAACAGCCCTCCAAACGTACCCAGATCATGCATTTGGGTGCGCCGATTTCTTACTACACGTGCCACCTGGGCAACCTGGCAAACCAGTCGTGGGGACGCCGCATGGTCTTAAAGGACACATGCAGTCGCTAGAATCGAAATCCCAGATGCAGAGAACCTGTCGTATTCGCTGGATATGCCCGTGCCCGTGAAAACCTGTTGAGTCTTTACTCAGGTACACTATCACCTTTTTGGACAGGTCAACGCACTAGCCTCATTCTTGATCTTTTTGCCCGTCGGCTTCTTTCCTCCCGACGCGTTATCGTCTTATCATCGAAGATCTGCCGTTTTCCCAGCATTGCGAAACCTTGCATAGATAGATGGCTGATAGGAATATTTGTCTGCCGCAATGACGAGATGCGCAATTTGTAGAGGCGATCAAGATGTTTATAGCCTGGCAATCACCTCCCGCCGAACAACCGAGGCTCGAATTGGTATTTGCTCAGGCGTGAGTATTCCTGCGCGGTCATGTCTCGCCTTCTGCAACAAGGCAAGGATGTTTTGAGTTCTCCAAAAACCCTCAAAGTCATAGCGCAAGATACCAGCGATCAAGGCGAAGTACGTTATAACAAAGACCTCCTTCCCAGTCCTCCTGGTAAGCCTTGAAATGCATCTTTCAGCATCTCCAAAAGTTAACACAATGCAGAAGATCGGAGATGGCGCTGGCAACATTACTTTGCATACTATCTGACCATGACATTCAGTCCATCCTCGTACAACCTCGGCGCATCTCTTGTCTCAATCGGTTTACTCTGGTGGCACGGCATGATTGCTGCTATCATCGGCTCCGCCATTCTCACCGTTCTGGTTGTGCTCAATAGTCGCGGCGCTGTCAAGTACTTTCTTGGCTTCCCTGTGTATGTCCGCGCAGCTGCTGGCGTCAGGGGAGCGAGTTTGTATATCGTCGTACGAGCTGTGGTTGCAATCATTTATTTTGCGACGCAGACCTACTATGGAGGCCGTATCACGTCGGTGTTCATGCGGGGTATATTTGGAAAGGGTTACAATGATATACCAAACCGCCTCCCAGAGAGTGCGGGGATCACGAGTAGAGATTTGCTGAGCTTCTTCTTGTTTTGGATGGTAGGTAATGTCCACCTTTCTCTCGTTCAAGTCCAAGGCCGACTGAGTATGCTAAAATTAATAGGTTAGTGATATCCATGTACGAACTGTATGTGAGACAAATACTGACTTCGTAAACTCATCTTTAGGCGCAACTACCAGTCATGTTCATTCATCCCACGGTACTTCGACACCTCTTTGTTGTCAAAGCTATCTATACAACGATTGCACTCTTCGGGGTGCTCGCTTGGGTAATCAGTGCCAATGGGGGCAAAATTGGAAGTTTTACGTACACGACCAAGCAGACTCAGCTCTCGGGCTCAGCTCTGATCTGGCCCATGATACAAGCCATCAATTCCGTTATGGGCGCTCTGGCGCCAGTGCTTATCAATCAGCCTGATATAGCGCGATACGGACATTCCTACGGCGATGTGACATGGAGCCAGGGCTTCGGTATTCTTACCAGTAAAGTACTGGTCATGTTCCTGAGTACCGCAACGACTGCAGCCGCTACACAAGTCCTTGGCCAAAGCTATTGGAACGTATGGGATCTCTACGACGCCATCTTGGATCAATATTGGACTGCTGGAGCTAGAGCAGGGATAGTATTTGCGTCTTTCGGTATGATGCTCGCTGTACTTGTCACCAATGCAGGAAGCAACTCGCTTCCCGTTGGTGCCGATCTTACAGGAATCTTCCCTCGATGGTTGACCATTGTGCGGGGCCAGGTACTCTGCGCAATTCTGGCACCCTTACTTGTTCCATGGAAGATTATCGCCTCGGCGACTGCGTTCTTGACATTCCTCGGAAGTTACACTGTATTTCTGATGCCGATCTGCGCGTGCATGATTGTCGACTACTGGCTCGTTCGAAAGGGTAACTTGCATGTTCCCTCATTGTACACGACTGCATCCGAAAGCCCGTACTCGTACTGCAAAGGCTGGAATATGCGCATGCTGGCTGCGTGGACAGCTGGGGTTGCCTTCACGGTCCATGGCGTCGCAGGGTCTTTGGATGCTGATTCTGTCGCCGAGGCTAGCAAGAATATGTACAAGCTTGGCTTTCTACTATCTCTGTTCATGGGCGGCTTGGTTTATTACAGCTTGTGCCTCATCTGGCCGGTGAAAATGGTGCCTCGAGGGGCAGGGGGAGAGCTGGGGTTTGAAGCGTTGGCAGCGAACGAAGGTTTCTTCGACGACGAGAATGTAGGAACTATCACGGGCGTACGGGAAGGCGAAGAAGTGCATGGGACGCAGCACGGCGCTGCGGATAGCAAAGGGTTTGTCTGTTAATTCCATGACATAGCTGTGAGTAAGCGCTGGAGGCTGTGGCCAAGTGTAACGTGACGTGGCGGGGCGTCGTACATGCAGGTGTGGCTGGTCGACAAGCTTGGACCACGCGCAACGTCACTGCCACTGCCGGGAGAGTGTGGGAGCTTCACCATGTCCAAGGCAAACATCTCAACGTCGACGCTTGGTGCTGCCTGACTCTGCTCGTTGTACCAACAGGCGCTACCATTGTTACCCCCAGTGAGCGCGACGACTACACCACCACCACCGACATGTGGGACGACGAGGACAACAATCCGTATGGATCCTTTGCCCGCCATGACTCCAACACGTCCGATATTCCTGGGCTAGCGTCGCCCGCTGCCCGTAAGGCTTCTACCTACCTACTGTCTGAAGCAACCGCCAGCATCACTAGCTGACATGATCAAGTGCCGTACCGCCCCGCGACGCCGCCCTCGGAGGCTTCGTCGCCCGCACAAGAATCGCCCGAGTATGTCTCTCAGCGCGACATGAGCGACGTCGACTACAACGAGCAGGACCAAGACCACGCAGACCCAAAGGCGCCTAAGAAGGGCGGGTACGATGCGCGCGTGGAACAATGGCTGTACGAGCACCCCGAGCAACTCGTCTTGATCACGAGCGCGGGCAAGGACGGTGTGAACTACATCCAGTACACCATCAACTGCGGTGTATGTTAGCCAGGCTGCTGGGGAGCCGCGCAGCTGACACATGAACAGGGCCTCGAAGTCAAGCGCCGATACTCTGAATTTGCATCCCTGCGCGCCGAACTGGTCAGACTTCACCCCACGCTCATCGTACCTCCCATCCCCGAGAAGCATACCATGGCCGACTACGCCGCCAAGCCGACAAAGGCGAAGGAGGATGCCGGTATAATAGAGCTGCGGAAGCGCATGCTGGCTGTCTTCCTTAACAGGTGTAGGAAGATGCAGGATATACTACAAGATGGCGTCTTCTGGCGGTTCCTCGATCCCTACACAAGTTGGGTAGGCTTCGTTCTCTTGTAGATACCAACCCCTTCAACTGACTTGCTTCTGTAGGCAGACGTACTCAACAGCCCGCCTGTTTCCAATATCCCCAAACAGATCCTCAAAGCACCTCCGCTCGATGCCGCGAACCCTTCCCAAGCCCACAGCTACCTTCCAGTCCCCTCGTCTTCCGCAAAATTGAAGTCAGGCGGTACCATATCTAGCTCGGGTACTCCTGTCTCACCAGCCAACAACGCAGCCCTACCTTCAGCAGCCGCGCATACGACACCGGGTCCTGCCATTTTCGGTCGTTTCCCTCCTGAGACGCGCAATATGTCGGAAGAGGAGTTGGATCCATACTTTGTTAGCTTCGAGAACTCGTCCAAAGACCTAGAACACCTGCTGCAAGGACCAATGGAGAAGGTCAACAGACGACTGCTCATGCACCTGGGCAATTGGGGAGAGGACATGGCAGATCTTGGCGCTCGATTCAATGCCTTTTCGCTATCTGAACAGACGCAGTCTCTCGCTGCAGCCATTGAAAAGACGGGACAAGCTGTCGACTCTACGTACATTGCGACGACCGAACTCTCTTCGTCTCTCAGCGCAGGCTTCTCGGAGCCTATGCGTGAGAGCGCGCAATTTGCCGGCATCGTACGTTCTACCTTGAGATATCGAGTGCTCAAGCGGATACAGGAGGACATGACAAAGGACGAACTTGAGAAGAAGCGCAATCTACTCGAATCCCTCGAACGCAGTGAAGCAGAGTCGAAACGATTAGAACAACATCTGAGTGGCGTCGGCCATCAACCTGCCCGAAGTCGCGCTGCATCCAACAGCTCACACCGAAGCATCGGCGAGGCGGAGCAACCACGTAGATCGGACGAGGATAGGGCGTCGATTGATTCCGACTTCCCACCTACACATGGCGACACACCATCCAGCGCACAGGGCGCACCTGATAATCAGTCACCGCCTAGTAGCCCGCACAAGAAGACTGCAAGTGGGAATTTCGTCACCAACAAGCTGTTTGGGTCCATTACACATGCTTTCAGGGGTATGGCAGACGTAGATCCTGAAAAGACTCGAAGAGATCAGATCGGCAAGACACGGGATAGTATGGTACAGGTAGGCTTAATATGTCATTTGTGAAGACACTTGGAGATACTGACCATTACGCAGCTCGAACAAGCGCTGACTGTGGCCGAGAAAGACACCAAAGACGCAAGTGCGGGTGTGATGAAGGACCTGCGACGATTCCAGAGCGAAAAGGAGGACGATTTACGGCGTTACATGGTATGTCTCGGTCTTTACCTAGTGCTCTTGAAAGCCGCTAAGAACAACTGCAGATGGAGTTCGCTCAATGTCATATCGATTGGGCGAAACGAAACAAGGCGGCTTGGGAAGAAGCTAAAGCCGAAGTTGAGAATATTGCGCCACAGCCCTCAGAAGAATACCCCAGGAGATCTGAGGACTTTGAAGCCCGAGAGCAGTGATGGCGCGTGCCATGTCTGTCTGTGTACACCTGGCGATGCATCCTTTGAGCGATTGCGCACCTGTATTGAATATGGCGAGTAGTAATTCAAAGTATAATAACAGTCGTTTGCTTTACCATGTACAACTACTCAGAACTACAACGTAGCTTCGTCGAACTTCAATCACCAGCTTATTGTGGAAATGTTCCCTTAGCTGCGCTCATTGAGCGTGCTGATAGGAGAGCATTCTGAGATCACTCTACACATATGACAAGGACGGTGATGTCTGAGCATGAGAATGCCAGCTGCCAGGGTGGTTTTATACGACAAGATAGCTCCATGGACGATACTGTGAAATAGAGCTCAACGCAATTCTACATAAGAGAGCTCCAGCAGCCTTGATCTCTTCCCCCTTGTTACGCTAACCATTTACACCCTGCTTCTAGTCAATGTGTTCTGTTACTGTTACATCGCCAAAAACCTACTTTTCCACGGATCCCCCAATCAGGCCTTCTTGCTCTTCTACACGGCTTCAACAATTGCGAACTCGGCAACGAGATTCAGGGACACAGGTCGCTTCGAACGTTGGATAGTATGCTGCTCACGGATTTGAGGGTTTGGAAAAGGACAGGGGTGAGGACTTGGAAGGAAACGCGACAGCGATCATGAGTACGGAAGGTATTAAGTGCAAGGGGTGGAGGAAGGCCAGGGATAAACATGGTTGCTCTGCGAGGATTGGATCAAACAGGACGGGTGATGCGCAGGCAGCGAGGACGACGGTCTGACTGGTGGCTAGTGACTGTGCAAGATATAGAGTAACGTCATCTCCCCATGGCCGCAAGTCATGACACAGGTTTGATAGTCTCAAAGAGGTCATCTGTATCCGTTCGTAGACACATAGGACTGGCAGTGGCCGGGGTAAACCATGTGGAAATCGGGTGAGTGGCAAAATAGTTGGGGGATCGTAAAGTCCATGATATGCATTGATGGTTAGCAGACAATTGATCTCAAACGCCATCCGTCTTGTCGTTCCCATCCGCAAGAGTTTTACAGGCGCTCGTAGATATACATGCCGATGCCCGCAGAAGCAACTCCGTATCCACCGTGAGGAAGAACCAGGCGAACCAGTAGTTGTAGAGAAACCGCCACTCGACTCCAGCCATGACCTTCGTAGTCATCATCAGTGTGCATCCGCTTATTTCTTGTCCTTCTTCGCACCGCCCTTGGACTTGGCTGTGCCCCGGAACTCCTTCATCCTGTTCTTGCGCTGCTTGCCTGTTGTCCAGTCAGTATGTGTCATGTATCGACATGCAGATCCATCGCCATAATTGCGACACCATGCATAGACGCAGGGAAGACGTACGCTGCTGCCTGCTGGCCTTCTCGACCTTGGTGGCCATGCCGTAGCGTACTAGCCTGTAGCGGGGCTCGAACTTCTTCATGGCTTCGGCGCTGTCATAGATAAGAGCGAAGCCGGTGCTCTTGCCGCCACCAAAGTGTGTCTTGAAACCGAATACGGAGACATCGTCCTTCTTGGCCTTATACAGCTCACCGAGCTTGCCACGGAGTTCGTCCTTGGAAACGTTTGCGCGGTTGGGGTGAAGGACATCGCTGTAGTATTCCCGTCAGACTCAATCCCCCGCAACTGTGTACTCGGCGTTTCCTGCACTTACACGACCATCTGACGACGTCCGAGGAGAGGGTTGCGGATGAACTTGCGCGTGCGCAGAGTAACTTGAGAGTCGGCCATGTTGGGAGGATTCGACCTGCAACACGACAATTAGCCGTGAGTCACAAGTACAATAGGGCGGGCTTGGGTCTGCAATGGACGTACTGGACAGAGATCGATCTTGCTGTTGTCGATTACCTGTGGTTAGCTGGCGGCAAGATGGAGATGTCGAATTTGCTGCGTCGTGTCGGCGGTCGGCAGTGCGCCTCGCTTAGTCTGCCAAGGCGCCCCGCTCCATAGTTACGTAAGCAGATGCGTGCTTGGATGTTCTTCCCTCTCGTCAAAATCAGAACATACAACTAGGCTGCACGACTAGGGAGGCTGAGACACATTGAAACATTCTAGCTTACGTGCCGAACAAAAACTATTGTCGCTTCCATGGACGCTCCATCCAACCTACCGCAGCTACTTATCTTGCAGCGCCAGTATTTCCAGCTGGTCGAACCACACCAATTAAGATGGCCAGATGATGCGATACTAAAAGCGCCAAACGTACAAGTGTGGCTCTTCCACAATCTGTTCGATGCAGCCAATATCACATCACTACCCCCGGGCCGCTATCGGTTGAGGATTCTCAAACAACTTGTCGCAAAACTCGAGAGGTCGATCACCGACCCGGAGGAGGATGTATGGTCTCCTATCTCCTCACCATGGCTTTGCCTTCGCTGTAGCCAGCCATCTATCAAGTCATAATAATCATCTTGCAATCGCAAAGATTCCATGCAGCACTTGCTGACCTTTCTCTTCGTCCCAATTATAGGAAATCTCAGATGACATTATGGAAGCGATGACTATTCTGCTTGTTGCTGATCTGCCCTCCGAAGCCGATGCAGCTCAGCAAAAAGCATTCGTGACGTACTCTTACCCCCATCATTCAATCGATGATAGCGTAACGCACGAACGTACGGTAACGCTACTTGAAGCGCGATCCGTCATCTCCTCGTCTGGAACGACTGGTCTCAGAACTTGGGAAGCCGCCTTGCTACTCGGGTCGCATCTCGCGTCCGAGGCTGGCCGACCGTTTGTATCCGGGAAGAGATTGTTTGAACTTGGCGCAGGAACTGGAATGCTGTCCATTCTTTGCGCGAAGCACTTGGGGGCGACCGGCGTGGTTGCCACAGATGGCGACGAGGCTGTTGTCGATGCCATCAGAACAAATCTTTTTCTCAACGGACTTGATGTCGATGACACGTCCCGGATTCAAGTGCGGACAGCCGCGCTGAGGTGGGGCCATCCCATTGACGCAGCGACCTTTCCCGAAGACTATGGCATGAGCGTACCAGATGTTGTAGTGGGAGCAGACGTCGTAAGTCATCGTCATTGCAGTCTCGTGGAGAAGTGGATCTGACAACGTCGCAGACATACGACAAGTCCGTCATTCCGCGATTGGTCTCGACTCTGGGAGAATTCTTCTACTTGAACCCAGCGCTCGAAGCTCTGATATCTGCGACGATTCGCAACGAAGAAACGTTCGAGACCTTTCTGAACGCGTGTAGTGGGTCTCTCCACGTCTTGTTTTCCTGGCCATGTTACGACATCGGGCGAGTTGTTGCTGACTTTTGTGGGGTAGGGCGGAACCGTTTCAGCTTCGAGCAGGTTGATTGCCCACCGGTGCCTGAACACCAACAGAAAGGGCCGTTCTATCCAACTTCGACCCCGATCCAACTGTGGCGTGTCACTAGAGGGCGATACATGGACGATGCGTTTTCTGTTTGAGACCAAGGTGTCGAGAGAGAAAACTCTTGACCGACATATGAAGGTACATAGACGCTGATGGTGGCGGATTGCAGCATAAAGAAAGGTGTGTATTTTGAAGCCTAAGAGATTTTCTGGTGATTCACCATGTTCGAGACGGTGAAGGCCCTTCTGAAGACCCGGTTGGCTCTTCTGTTGCGCGGCCGCTAGGATAGAGTTACGCGAGTAGACAATGGACCCGCATCTAGTTATGCACAGTCAAAAGTCACACAACCGGAGTGCTTCAGAGATGCGAATTATCGGCAAGGAACACACTCTATGTATAGCGGCTCGCAAGCCGACTGGTGAGCTGGATGAAGCCGCGAAAAAAGCTGTTCAAAGCCCGACTAAGGCGTGGTGAGTCGATTGCGAAAGAGGAGCCGCGCCCGGTTACCGAACGGAAGGCTGTGATAGATACGCAATATGGCTTCATTGTGTTGAGAGAGCTCGCAACACAGAGCAGGCGTGACGGTGTCGCGTCAGCGATACGCACCCGAGTGGGCAGTGGTGTGTAGTGATGGTGCCCGCTGCGAGTCGCACCGAGTTGCACAAGAACGTGGACCTTTGGCGGTCTTCCCGTGTGCATGCTCGGCCCGCAATTCGCTGCAACACGACGGCTGCGACGTTTCCATGCACAGCGCTGCAACGGCGAAAGGATGCACTATGGCCAGGCTTCCCCGCCGTGGCTACACCGGCAAAGATTAAGTTGTAGCAAGGCACCGTGGTGGATGCGAGTGGGGGGTAGTAGGGAGGAGTCAGCGGGCAGCGGGTGCCGCTATGGCGTGCTAGATGATCTCAATGGCTCCATCGTGATGGCTATCACGAATCATCCCCACACGCGCAACCATATCCCGACCGCATATCTAGGCCGTCGTCGTCAACCATGTTCTAGAACTGCCCTCAGGTACTCGCAGGCGCCGGTCTCGTAATTACTTATTGACCGCAATCCCGCACTCCTCTTGCTATCGATCTCGGATACATTGCTTGTTATCCTGCCGCTGAAAGCCGCCTGCCTCGTGGAAATACTCGGCTTTGCTGTCTCTCACGAACTGCTGCTTATCGCCGCGCACCCCAGCCCAGCCCAACCCGCGCATCGTTCCCGGAACTATACTGCACTCTATCCTTCCTTCCTTCCTTCCGACGTCGCACGTCCCGTGTCTGTTGAAGTAAGCTCGTTCTCCTGGCTTCTTGGTGTCGCCTCTCAACCTCGTCGATCGATCAAGGCCCCTTCTTGTACATCGTCACGATCTAGACACGCACTATCGTGTTCCTGGCTAAGACGTTGGCGCAGAACCCAAGCGATAAGGATCCTAAACAAAGCCACGCACGAACCTTCCGTCATATCAGCAGCTGGTACTCGGCGGCCTGTGTCACCGCTTCTTTGCTGCCCTACTTCCAGCCCTGTAACGACATCGTGCACCGTGCACCGTGCGCGATTACCACAGTGAGGCTTTTAAAGTTCTTCTGCATCCATCATGGCCACACATCACGTTCGTCACCCGTCTCATCAATCCAAAAAGTCGCAGCCAGCGCACGCACGGCCCTCTAGGCCTCTGTCAAAGCGGACCCAGTCCCACGGCACCAAAGCCGCCTCCAAAGCCGTTCATTACAAAGAGACTGCATCCGACGAGGACGAGGACTCAATGGCCGTGAGTTTTTTGAACTACTGGTATGTTGTCGTCATCCGAGTCCTCGCGACTGCGCACTAATCTTGTGTTGCAGCACCGTCTGCGAGAAGCAAATTATTGTTCCCAGTAACTCTGTGCTCTATTGCTCGGAAAGGTATGGCCCACACCCACTCTATGATGCACAGGCCACCTACTGACATGCACACGTAGCTGCAAGAAAAAGGACACCGAGAAGAGCCTTACCTATTCATACGATCATTACTCACCGCCAACTACGCCATTTGCCAACTTCACGTTCGACGAGTTTGCCTTTCGCGACATTGTACCTCAGCGCTCCCCCACTCAGCCTGAGTCAAAACGCTCGTCATGTGCCTTCTCCGACATCTCGTCAGACGATAACAGCGTCGACCGGTGTCAGCGTTTCGACTCGGAGGCATCAAAATATCTCCGCAAATTCCAATCGCCTGCCTACTTCCCCGATACCGTTCGACCGCGCTACAGCCGTAGCTCTACTTCACAAATCAGCTTTAGCGCCGCCCCCTCGCTGTCACACACCCCAGCCTCGTCAGTGAGCTACTCGCTGCCATACACGCCCGCCACTACGCGACCTCTTCCACCCAGGACTAAGCCGTCGCATAGTGGGTCTTACGGAGCCAAATCAATTGACCTCGTTACCCCAGTGACGGCTCCATCGAGTCCAAAGTCCTATTCGCACAAATCGGCGGCTTCCATATCAAGGACGTCTGCTAGTACAATTGAAGGCGAGATCTTCTACGCCAAGTCACCAGTTCCTGAGCCATCATTCGCTAGTGGCAGTCTTGGTCGATTACTTGCTTCAACACCTCGTTAAACAAGTGCTGTCTCGAGGACGCTTGATCACAAATCGCCCCTCGGGTTTTTTAACACAACCTTTTCTAATAGCAGGCCACGAGCGCTTGGCTATGCGGGCGTAGCCTCGATACTCTTGGGACATGTACATTTCGTTTCCACAACAAAAGTCTTTTGGTCATCGCGTAGATGGCCCTCCTTTGCGAATAGCGATATACCAACAAGCCTTTAGATCTCATGGAGAAATTAGGATGCATGTAAGTAGATAGAAACAATGAATAGATGTCAGTGCCAATGTCACGCACATTCAATCTATGCAACCGTCTCCGCAATGTAGGCTAGCATTGCCCGCCACCATCACTGCAGCCTTTCATTAAGAAGGCTATAGATCCGAGAAGAAGAAATTGGGATAACAAAGCCGGCGAATCTGGTAACTCCCCTCTACCAGTGTCCACCGAAAGCGTAATAACGACCAGCCTTCCATAGCCTTCTCAACAACCTCAAACATTCGTTGCATCTCCTTATCCGAACTTTCCACACCCCTGCAATCTCCTCGTCATCTCATACTTTCCATATACGCAACGGTCTTGTAATTTGTCGATCACGACTAAGTATACACGCAACATAGAAGAGGAGAGCGTATAGAAAGGTTAGTCATCAGCGAAGGTGTAGAATCTCCTGAACACTTACTATTCACAAGAGCTATGCCGAAAAGAGTAAACTTGGGCTTATCCTACCCCGCAGCTGCATGGCTGCGACTCGCACAGTGAAGGGGAGGGGGCAGGATGATCAAGAAGCTCACAAAAAGTGTGAAGACTTTGTGGACTCTGGCGTCATTAAGGCCGGCAATGGTAGACATTTACATCAACAGATAAATAACGCCTCTCTTTATGGCAAGCAGACCTGCATCCTATATGGACTATGAATTAAGTAAGGAATGTATGTACAAACGCCACCGCATGCAAATAAGGAACGCTATGCTATGCAATACCTCATCCGGAATCCTGTAAATACACATTATCGGATGTTTCTCGTGATCCTCCCTCTCCAATCATCATCGTTTGTAGTAGAGCGCAGTGCTTATAACCCGCAGTTACTAGTAGCGACCTGAGCGTACTGGGCATCGATACGTCCCAGAGCCGCAGCCTGGCCGTTTGTAAGCTCGTCCATGGCTGCCTTGGCGAGGTTGAAGCCTTGAGCAGCATGGTCGACGGCGAGAACGTAGATGGTCTTTCCGTTGTAGGTAACGCCGTAGCATGTACCACACTAGTATGTATTGTTAGACAATGAAGATGAGGAAATGTAGTAAGTGTACGTACCTGTGGGCTGTTCCATCCAGCAACACCCATATATCCACCGATTTTAGGGAAACCAGCAACGTTGGCTTGAGTTTGCCAGTTGTACTTTGTGATGAGGCCGTTGGAGCCGTCCGAGCAGGCGAGCGAGGTCAAGGCGCGGCTGCCGTCATCGTAGCCAGTATCGTAGCTGACAGTGATGGCCGAAGCCAGACTGGCAAAACCAAGGATTGCCGCTGAGGTGATGCTGGAGAACTGCATGATTTGTTGGTAGATGGGTAGAGGCTTAGAGAATGGAGGTTTGGAAGTCGGAGGGCTGGTTACTGATGATGCGTGTCTTGCAGTTGCGAGTACATTGCCATTTATACCATCCGCCATGTCGAAGCCTCCACTCTACGATCCGAGGCTTCCACCTCGTCTTTCGTCACGATGGCAATCTTTACAGGGTGCCCAAGCGCGAACGCGAGCGACATCCCGGAATGACTTACCATTTCGACAGCACTAGCTTCAGCGGTCAAAGCAGATGACCATGAAATAGCGGCGTTTGGTGTAGGTTAGCACAGATAAGCTTATAGCGCCAAAAGACACGAGAATTAATGCGGAGAGTTGCGATATTTTTGGCACGCTAGCAGCGGGAGAGGCTTTCACTAGCTATAAACGGTCCAGTAGACGAGGAAAAGGCCCGGAGATACGGATGGTTGCATTCAATGTGCCATAATAAGTAGCCACGGACAGCGATCAATAAAACGATGCTGCACCCCACCGGCACGCGTGCACGATAAATCTCACGAGATTTAGGTATGATGTCGTGACCGGACGGGGTCTGAAGGCGACGCACGTATAGTCTCGGAAGTGGCGGCAGCCAAAGCCACGTCGACGAACACGGAATCTGACTACCACCGTCAGAGCGTCACACACGATGCAGTAATTGTTGTTGCTCAGGGGAGGACGTCGTCGAGTTCGCTGTCCGTTAGGGTAGCGCTCACACCAGCAACGATTACCTTGGTCAGCAGATGAACCTTGGAAGCGTCGATTCACCGCCCATGCAGACCCCCATTTCGGCATTCACGACACGAGATACAACCGTAGCGTTTTCCAATTGAAGTTCGACCAGAATGTTCTCCCTGGGAGCTGCGATCTCGTGAGAGCGGAGCCTTGACCTTGGAACACAGCCGCGGAGCAAAGCGTCGGTTCATTCGGTATACCAGGCCCGTGGACGCTTTGACTTCCGAAGGCACGAAGCAACCAGGTGCAGATAGAACCTTGGAACGGTCGCCACGCTTTGCGCAACGGAAGAAGGTGCCGAGGAAGCTCGGTGGTATGTCATGAGATCTGGTCGTTCGGAAGATGTGTGGCAGCGCCGAGTGCAGCACCAGAAGCTGTTGACGCTGTTGCTTGTTGCGCTAGTCTTTCGGGTGACGGAGAATTTCTCAAAGCGGAGCCAACGGCTCGTTAGCTACCTACGCTCCAGATATCGCGATGGTAGGTGTCCACTGTCACGGCAGTCGCTATGGATCCACGCATGTTACGGGTGAGATGACAGGGCGGAAATAGCGCACGACTTCCGTGCACGCTCTCCAAAACATCTCGCGTTCCATCAACGACCAACAGCGAGTTTCATCCCTTGGCCAGAAACGCATTTGCCATGGAAATAAGGGTCTGGTCTTAGCTCCTGGACAGCCACAGGATCGGCCTCAGGCTCGAAACAGCCATACCCGAGCGGCAAGTGGCTCAATACAGGCGCCCATGGCAAACATAGCCAGTAGCAGACCTCTGCATTGTGACATGTTGACCGCCCTGTTTCCCCAGATCTCGCTTCAAGCGTTCAGGCGTCAAGAAAGCGTGCCTTCGCGACGCCTGAAGTCTCGGAGGTGTTATGGCATGGCACGCGTATACCGATTGATCCGCTCAACAGGCGGCAACTGTTTCTCTATATACTATATAATGGACGCAAATGTGCTCATTTGGCTCGGCAGGCAGGTCCACGTTCTTCTCTTCTCACTACCAATTACACACCAAGACAACCTTCGTTTCTACCCGCATTTTCTTAATTCCCAAACGAGCTAGTCTCTTTACCAACAAACCAACCATAATGCATTTCTCAACCATCTTCGCTGCTTCGGCCATGGCCAGCGCTACCTTCGCAATGGATCACAAGGTCATTGTCGGCAACAAGGCTGGCGATCTTGTCTTCAAGCCAGACAGCCTCAAGGCCGCTGAGGGCGACACTGTCACCTTCTCGTTCTGGCCCAAGAACCACTCTGTCGCTCAGGCTACCTTCGCCAACCCTTGCCAGGTAAGATTCTCCATATACGAACTGCGTGTGGGACATACACTGACTTCGTACGTCCAAATTTAAAGCCTATGGACGGTGGCTTCTTCTCCGGTTTTGTTCCGACATCTGATATGGAGAGCGTCGCCAGCACAACCTTCACCTATGAGGTCAAGAATGCTTCAGCTCCCGTCTGGTTTTACTGCTCTCAGGGCATGCATTGCCAGAATGGCATGGTCGGTGTTATCAACCCCCCGTAAGTTTTCCACTTATCTTGTAGTCGCTTGCTTTCACTGACATTGTCTAGGGCGTCTGGTCCCAACACTCTTGATGCATTCAAGAACGCTTCTGAGAAGGCCACCGAAAACGTATCGCCTACATCAACCGCCGGCACTGGTGGTAAGCTCAACGAAAACGGTACTTCAACATCCGAGTCACCTTCACCTTCTTCAGCAACAGGTGCTGCGTCCCATCTCGCTGGCAGCGCTGTGTTCGCGGGTATGACGGGTCTGTTCACCTTCTTCATGCTCTAAGCGATCGAGCTTGTAGTGCGAAGCAACTGTTATACCCCAGCAAAGATGGAACGAAGCTCTGGCAGACAATGTGCATTAGTATGGTGGAACACCATCAAGAGAAAGTGGCAAAGTATAGGTATTCTTGGTGTTAATTGTATATGAGTATTGAATGAACTAGTCAAAACTCCAACTATGTACGATCGTGTAGTGAGCACTGCTAATTGGGTAACGTACAGAGCTGCATACATGTTGGTCATAGCAGCATGACTGCTAAACGATGGCGGAGTCTAGGTGGCCTGTTAAGAGTCAGCGAAAGCTGTCGAAAACAAGCAGAAGTGTAATGTGAGGTTGAAATGCAAATCAGACATCCAAGGAAGGTATTCGCGCTCATTGACCATCTAAAGTAGGTTCGATTGATGGCTAGCGTGGAAACTGCGAATGTGGAATGCTTTTCATCATGGTGCAGGGACGGGAAGTTGGGAGAGCAGTAGTACTTACAAGAGCAAGTGCTCAAAGCAGAGAAACTGGTGTCAATGAGCATGCGACACAGGGGCGAGCGCTGGATACGCTTGCAGCTGCAGAAGAAGAAGAAGAAGAAGAAGCACGTGAACTGAAGCAGAGTGCAGGAAGCTAAAAACTTTTAAGTGGACCCGACCGGGGTTATGTTTCGCCGGGGCCGCAGAAACTTGTTGATGTTCAGCGCATGCATGCGCTTGTAATGCCGGACGTGGCTTCTAGAGGAACTGCCTGGACACAATCACTCAGAGCTATGCCCCGGTCTCGACATGTTGTTGTCACATGTTCGTTGTGTGGGCTAGTGTTCCGATAGGGCTCACAACTCAATCACAACCTTGCGAAAGCTGACACCCTCCTTCTGCTTCTTGTAGCCCTCCGCCACAGCGTCGAGTCCCTTTCCAACTACCAGTGGTTCTGGGCTAAGGTACGTGCACGAAGTCAGTGTATGCCTCACACGCACTTGGTACATAGATACTTACACAGCTTTTAGTGTACCCCTTTCCAACGCCTCTGGCACCCACCGAGCCCAGACAACGTCACCGACGTACTTGTCCGCCAGCGCTACACTTGGACCGAAGACGCTTGTGCCCTCGATACCTTTTGGAAGGCCCTCTGCATCAGGCAGCACAGAGCCATAACGTCCACCGAGCTTCTCGTATACTGGTGCCCAGGCAGCCGCAGCATCCGGTGTACCAATGGCGTCACAAACACCCGCGAATTCCGTGCCTTCGAGAGCGGCGATGATGTCGTGGGCGACCTTGGGGTCCTTGTAGTCAAAGGCTGCTGTTGCGCCCAGGCCTTTGAGCTTCTCTAGGTTGTGCTTGCTCGCTACGCTGACGACCTTTACACCGGCACCCGCGGCTAGCTGAATTGCAGTCGCTCCAACGCTGCTCGAGCCGCCCCATACCAACACTGATTTGCCCGTAGAAGAGGGGTTGGAGGATGGCAAGGGTAACGCGAGGGTCTCCTTCTTGAAGAGGCATGCGGCGGCAGTGGAGACGGCAAGAGGTAGCACCGAGGCCTCGGCGAACGTCATGTGCGATGGAATCTTTGATACGACGAGCGCGTTGCAAGCAGTGTAGAGCTGAAATCCACCGTGCGCGGGGTCGTTAGTCACGAGTGAGAACGCGTGTCTGTACCATGCTGTTAGTTCACAGCCCCGCGGAAGCTCTCAAGGTTGAAGGCGGAAGACGAACCCTAGCACCCGGTCGCCCTTGGTAACGTGTGTAACGCCCTCGCCAACTTCGTGCACCTCACCAGCGACGTCAGTACCACAGACGTTGGGATACTTTTGCAGGAAGATGCCGTAGTCCTGGATTTTCCCTGCTCTAATTAGCAACTCATTCCTACTAGAAAATGCAGATACTCACAATCTACGGGGTTAACGGCAACGGCGTGGTTCTTAATAACAACCTCGCCCTTGCCTGCCTTTGGCATGGGAGCTTCCTTGACCTGGAGCTGGCCCTTTGCTTCTGGGATCCATGCTGCTTTGTTTGACATGATGGTGGTAATTCTTGAAAGATATCGTTTCTTGGGAGCAGAGTACAGACACAGATGTGAGGCAAAAACGATGGCTTGTACCTAACTAACGAAAGAAGAGACAGCACCGGTGTACGACGGCGCAACACGCTCGCCGATGCCGTCTACCCACCTTCGATTACTGAGCCTCGGTAGATCTCCAGTTCATGCACACAGATCGAACCCCACATTACGCTTTGTTTCCGAACGTGACTACAGATCTGTTTAGCATGTTAACTGGTGAGCTGGTTATGCGGTGACGTTATCTGAGCAATGATGATGTATAGCGCTATGTCATCGTTGGTGGATTTAAACGGAGTTTGGCCGGCTTGTTCCATGCGCACGGTTCGAGCCGGGGAGTGCCACGAGTGAACACCAACAGAAACGAGAACAAAAAGAAACAGTAGAGTAATATGAGATTAGGTTGCGGGTTAAAAAGAGTTTCGGTTTCGGAGTACTATTTGGATTCTACGCAATCGCGTTCTTGCTCTGACACGTGGCTATTTAGTTACTGCTTGGAAGCCTAAATTGCATGTGATTTGGGTCCTCGAACAGACTCGATGTCTTCTACTTCATTCATACATTTCAGGTCTTCCCCTTGCGATCTATATACAAATCATTGTTGAACCCTGGCTACTCACGCCAAGATTCGAGTCAAGAAGGTATACATGCAACAGGTTGTGCTTGCAAGTAGCTCTCTGCATAGTTCGCTCTATCTGTTAATTCTTCTTTTGGTTTTATTGGACAAGACAAGCTTTTAGCCTGGAGTGTATTCTCTCACATTGCGATTTTTTTGCGGGGCATGCGGGCGTGTGTAGATACAGACTCAATTACACATCAACAGCTTGTTGTCACCCCATACACAATATTGTCTATCACAGCCTGTAATTCATAACGGCCCATTGCTTTAGAGATTGCAATAGATTCAGGGACTGCATGAGGCTACTCTGGATGCGATCATGAACTTGTTAATGTCTGGTATTTGCTTAACCTATCAAGCGTAAAAGGCGAGATGTGTTAGGTATTCCAATTCATCTCGGCTCCTTATTCCAAAACTGTTGGCTTATGTTGTCCTGCCTCATTTACGATCTCTGCAGATTTCATGTGCCTCCTGTTCGGCCGAGCGTTGTCATAGGTGTGCAGCGTGTACGCCACCAAAATTTCTCAAGAAGCAGCCTGTCCAGGGCTCCGTAGGCTGCTGCCACAACTCGGCCACTCGTGCGCGGCTTAATATTGGGAGGTATGAAGCTCCAGGTCCTCTCCTACCAGGAAATCGAGAAGTTAAGTAAGTGACAAAACCGCGGCAAAGGCCTCGTAAAGGCTGAGAGAGCGATAAGCGTGCTGCCGAGTCATTTGTGACGCGTATTAAGCCACCGTCTGATTCAAGCGCCAATGCCCCGACAAGCGCAGTAGGTAGCAACACCAACCAATGTGGAGTGGCATTGCAACGGCGCAGCCGAAGCAGATGGCCATGCCGCACTCCGATTGACTTTTGTTGGTTTTCCACCACTACAACCACCCTGCTACGAAACCGTCCGTGAGCGCCTCGCCGAAACGCCCGCGTACTGCGATGCTTACTTGGCCTCGCTGATCTGCATCTCGCAATCGGTCCTGCGACCTGATCCCCACCATCCTCATCAACTACCTAGACAGCGACTCTCCGCCGGCTTTCCTCGCGTTCCAAGATACCTTCTTCGCCACGATGAAGCTACCTCCCATCGCGGTAGCCTGTCTTTCCGCTCTCGCCATAGACTCATGCAGCAACGTCATCGCGCAACGCCTCAAAGCATGGAACGAATCTAAGCCCTTCGTCTTCGACCGCGTCCTCTTTACCCAGTTCGCCATCATGGTCGTACTCACCGCGCCCATCAACTACCACTGGCAGAATTGGCTCGAGCGCGCGTTTCCGGGCTGGAAGACCGTCAAGCAAACAAGGGCTGTAGGCGAAGGTGAAGAGGAGAAGGGCATAATGCTGAGAGGTGATGGAGAAGGAAAGGGCATTGTGGAAGAAGAGGTTAGAGTGAGGAACTGGTGGAATATTTTCAAGAAGTGGTTTACGGACGTGAGTGGCCTATGCTCCAATTGTGGTGACGGATTAAAGCTTACGAGATACAGTGCATAACCATGGGCGCGCTACTGAACCAGTCAATGTTCCTGATTCTGATTGGTCTCATGAAGGGCAAGACAGTTGCGATGATTGGGCAGGACTTCAGAAACGTAAGTAGGCCCTCTGCCGAAGGGCTGCTGTGTGCAGTGCTAATACTTAAAACAGGAGCTCTTCGGTCTCATCTTCGATTCGTACAAGGTCTGGCCGATTGCCAACTTCTTTAGCACCACCTTCATCCCTGTCGAGCGTCGTATTGTCTTCCTCAGCTTCTGCGGTTTACTGTGGAACATATATCTGAGCCTGGTGGCAGCTCGATTGTAGACGTACCAAGACGCAACATACCAGATTCCGCTTAGAATAAACACAAGGAAGATGAGGACTGCGTTACGCTGGTATCTAGATCAAGTAGACATGTTACCACTCTTCGGCCCCTTCTTCCAAGCTTCCATAACCGCTGCCCAATATTTGTTCTCGTCCTCCCTGATATGACCACAGTGCGGACTTTTCTCAAACTGCACCTTTGTCACATCCCATCCCTTTGCCTTGGCAAGATCAGCGTGCTCATCTGCCTCCTCAAACCGAACCATCGTATCCGAACGACTATACAAATACAGACGCGGTACATTGGTATCAAACACCGATTCATCGTTCAGTTCTCGGCAGAGAACTACCATCATATTCTCCCTTCCCGTAGTCTTGTCTGCAATAAATGTGAGGACAAGGAGAAGATGAACCAGCGCCCCACCAAACCAACCCCAAAACGTGTTTCTGGGAAGGGACGCGGAAATGGCTGCATGGCTCTGCATCCACGGGCCTTTGGTCGGACTGGAATCGAGAATCTGTGCTTGCATTGGTAGCACTGTACCATACTTCTTTTTCCATGCTTTTGCAAATTCATTGACTTGATTTCCGCCGCCGTTTGAGAAACTATGGACAAGGATGCGTCCTCCTGAAGCGGTATGTTCGGCTACAAGATCTGTTGTTGGCTCGAGCAAAGTGGCGTAGGACGAGGTACGGCGGAACATGTCTGGGGTGAAGCATCGTACCAGCAGGATGCGGGATGTTGGGAAAAGCTTCTGGTAGGCAAGTGTGTATTTGGCGATGTGCTTTGCGGCCGCAGCGTTCCAAGTGAAGAGTAGGATGAGCGGAGTTTGCTCTGCGAGTTGGGATAGGTATGATGATGATGTCCAGAGATATGTGTTGTGACCTATCTTTTGAAAATCGGATAGCGGTGTTACTATGTCTGCATTGGGTGGAGAGGCTGATGGCTCCATTGCTGCGTGTGAACAAGGAAGCTGGTATGATGAGGTATATAGACACCTAGGCAGAGATGTATACTACATTGCGTCTTATTAGCTAATTGTCAACGACGCGACGACCTTCTTTAGAGCAGGTCTTCGAAACACAGCCTCGAAAGAACACGCTTCCTCGTAATTCACGTACGATTTGCTAGTAATGATACGGCCATAGAGCGAGCAGGTTGCTTCATCAGCTGAGCCAGAGAACACAGAGACGTTAATTGGTAATGACATAAAAGTCCTTCTTAGGAATGCACGTTTAATAGCACAAGTTGAATTCACGACCTTGGCGTAGAAGAGCAACCGAGCCGAGGTACCACCATTATTGGCTATTTACGTCCACTCTCGCAACACGCACCGAGTTCAATCTACGCGACTTACACTTTTGAGTTCTGAGGCTATGGGGCCTTGCATTGTGCGGTCTGACATGCTGGTGCCTAAACCGCAGTCTGGTTCTGACCCAACGCCCATGCAGCTGTGGGGCTCACCGTTGCACCCGCCTGCGCCACCCCGATAGCGATGCTTACGCCGCCCTCGCCCACCGCTGCACTCTATCCTGCAGCAAATCTGATGCCTGATTACTTGGAAGTAGAGGTAGCTGTTGAGCGTGTAGTCTGATGTGAAGTGAGAAGATGATTGGAAATAGTATATGGGAGAGCTCAGCTTGACATGTATTTATCTAGTGGGTCACTTCTCGTCCCCTGCCACAAGCGCCGCCTCCTGCGATGCCATATGCGACTTGTGCGCATGCTTGTTGATTGTCGTCTGTATCCCATTGCCATGGCCATGGCCGGCGGAACGTCAGGTACTTGTGGAGCGGCGGGCGTATTATTTGCTCCTTTCCTGCCCAATTTGAGCGACAGTAGTATGAAAACAGCTGCGATCAAGATGGCTAGCAGTAGCATAATCTTCCTCTTGATGCTGCGCTTCTGGTATCCAGAGGCGACGTTGAGCTCCTTGTCGGCTTCTTTGACGTCTCGCGACATGTTCTCTACATTGTAATCTATGCGATCGAGCATGCTGCCCTGATCGATGACCATGGTCTGCAGCTCTTGGAAGATGTTTGCTAGCTCGATGATGCCTTGGGCGATGTCTTCGATTTCGCGCTCGCGCTGAGCAATGATTGCTTGATTGGGGTCGTGGCGCATGCGCTGTTGCTTTGTCTGGAGGAGAGTGGACTGGGAGAAGGAGCGATCGGCGTCCGACTCTTGCAAGGCAGGGTCGTTGTAGGGGTTTTGGACGGGTGTTGCAACGCGGAAGGGCGAGGTGAAGCCGCCAAGGTCGCGTAGTTCTCGACAGACTGTTAGCATAGCCAGGGCTGTGAGGCGGGGGTTGTCTCACTCTTGAGGTAGGCAGCCTGCTTCTTGCGGAACATGGCACTGACATGGCCAACGCGGGTTGCCAGTGCGATTTTGAGGTTCTGGGCCATGACGTCTTCGCCCTGGGCGATGCTGCCCTGCTGTTTTGCGTCGCGGACCATGGCGTCTATGCGCTTGATGGCTTGCTGGCACTTTTGGAAGAGGCGCGTGATGGCCTGGGTGAGATGCTCAATGTCGCGCTCCTCGCGCCTCTTGACGTCTTCGTCATCGAAGCCAGGCAGCACGTGCTTCTGGTGCAGCTGGTCGAGCTTGCGTGTCTGCGTGGCGATGTCGGCGAGGTGCTGGGTGATTTCGTCCTGCACGTCGAGCCAGCGCGGAGGCAGCAGGTCCATCTCAATCACGGCGTCGCCGTCGTCGTGGTAGGCGCCGCTGGACATGAGGCCCTGGCGCTCCTCGGACACGCGCGTGCTGTCGCCCAGGCCATTGGAGCGCGGGCGGGCATGGCGCGTCTTCTGCTGGGGGTGGTGGGCGTAGGACTGGCGGTAGGATATGAAGAGGTTGGTTCGGTCCCGCCACATGCTGGGCTGGCGAGGGTCAACCTGAGAGGACGGCCAGACTGTGAGTGACGGCCGCTTCGCAGGCGTGTCGGCGGCTGAGGTGCGGTGCGCCGGCGAGGGAGCCGCCTTCCCGCTCTGGGCGACGCTAGGCCAGCTCCCCAACAGACGGCCGTCTGACAGCCTGCTCCACTCCAGCCCATCTTGCCCAGCCGCAAACACTACGGGACCCTCCTTCACACCACACCTGCGCCTCTGCTCTATCCACCACCCCAGCCCATCGTCGCCCAGCAGCCCAGCACCCCTTCACCCTCGCACCCACCACCCAGAGACAACATGGTGTGTAGCCCCGCCCCGCCCGCGCGCCCTCGCACATACCCCGCCCTGCAAAACACGACGACCGCACGCCCGCCCCCAGCCCGGCGCATTGCTAACACTGCCATCTAGGCCGATTCTCTCACCGAGGAGCAGGTCTCCGAGTTCAAGGAGGCCTTCTCTCTGTTTGTAAGTGGCCGCCCAGCCCTGCCTGCCCACCAACACCAGCTAACCACCTTGTGATGCAGGACAAGGACGGCGATGGTCAGTACTCTCCGTCGCCTGCACCACCCACACCTTGCCCCCCTGGGAGCGCCCTCGTTCCTGCCCACGCAACCGCACTCCGCACTAGACACCCGAGTTTGACCCCGCTGACGATGATGCCTCACAGGCCAAATCACTACCAAAGAGCTGGGCACCGTCATGCGCTCGCTCGGCCAAAATCCCAGCGAGTCTGAGCTCCAGGACATGATCAACGAGGTGGATGCCGACAATAACGGCACCATTGACTTCCCAGGCACCTCTCCCTCCCACTTCTGCCACACGTCCGCTCTAACCTCGTGCAGAATTCCTGACCATGATGGCCCGCAAGATGAAGGACACCGACTCCGAGGAGGAGATCCGGGAGGCCTTCAAGGTCTTCGACCGCGACAACAACGGCTTCATCTCCGCCGCCGAGCTGCGCCACGTCATGACTTCTATCGGCGAGAAATTGACCGATGACGAGGTTGACGAGATGATCCGGGAGGCCGACCAGGATGGCGACGGCCGAATTGACTGTACGTCCTGTTTGCTGCCATCACACGTGTCGCTCTAACACAATCCAGACAACGAGTTCGTCCAGCTCATGATGCAGAAGTAAGCCTCTGAAGTTGCGAGGTAGAATGACTACATGTATTGCGATGGTAGCACGGCTGAGAGTTGATGTCGACGAGTGACGGCACAGTTTGACCTACTTGGCGTGTCGTGTCTTTGTACCCCGGATTCGGTTGCTTGTAACCCGAGTCGCCCGGCTTGTTTGTCAGCGTCTGCAGGGAATTGTCTCCTATACCTATCCTCAATTCACATTCTCACGTATTTACCCCAACTTTCACTTTGGTGCAGAGCCTCTCCTGAATGGTCTTGAGCCACACTCAAGCCTTCGGGTTTTTGCAAGACACGCAGGGCCATGAGGCGGTGCATACCCGGACAAGCTTTGACCGCTTAGCCCGCGGGTCCTTTGCTGATCAGTCTCCATGGACACGAATGCGCGTCTTCCAAGGGTAAACCTTCTTCCTCTGCCCAACTGCGCTGCGGATTGCGATCTTCGGCTACTTGATTGCGACTGCCCTACGCTCCCATCATGATCAACGCATCTGCGTCCACCACAGTGAGACAATATGGCAACCTCGCACAAGACACATAGATTTCCAAAAGGTGTGTGGTCGTGCAATCGCTTTCTGTTTGTTATGACCGAATCGCATACTCTTCTATTCGTAGTCTTGTACCCGTATTGCATTGCGAGCAGGAATATACGCAGTCCTCCTCGAGCCGAACGGGTCAAGAGGCCGTACTGCCGCCCCGTCTGTATGTCATCACTAGAAAGTATAGGCGAGATCGACACGAAAAGGGAATAAGGATCTTCGGTACAGCAAGTCATGGAGAGACGTTTACGGCAAATGCCATCTCCCGTTCGATTATCCACCCACTGACGGAAATCCCTAGCATGGCGACTGCCATCTCATGTCCGAGTCGTCGTCATCGTAAACCACGACGGTTGCGGCCCCATCTGGCTTGGCAAGTAGAGGCGGAGGGAGCCGCGACGTTGCGCAACGGCTTTCTAGGATCTCGAATAAGACATTTGCCCGGTACCGCCTAAGACATTGAAGTTGCTAGGGTCTACTGACCCTCTCGACCGTTCTTGGGCGCGAGGTTGGCGTGTCGATGTGACTACGGAGGTGAAGAGTTTGCGTAGGTTGCTGAGTCATAACAGGCTGGGGCCAAGTGCGAACCCCTGAGTGTCTGGGAAGAAGTAGTGATACAAGTGTACCTTGGAATTTCCTTGGTACCCTTCTTGTATGGGTTGCAACTTTGTGTAGGAAGCGTGGAAACGTCCGAATCTTGATGAGTACGAGTTGAAGAAGTGATTCAAGACATTGCGAAATGATAGATGTACTAGAGAAGCAATATTGAGCAAGTAAAACCTACAGTTCTCTTGGGAAGACTCAAATAGTACACATGTTCACGTAATCGGATTTGGAAAAGCTGATCATGTACACTGTTTGACAATGGCCTAGAAGTATCGATGCACATCCCGTATGATTATTACGCCTTTATCAATGCCTACGGTTCGTTGGTACTTCTTCTATACAACATGGGAAGTAGCTGTCGCGAACCGTACGTACCAAGCTGTCGATACTCTAGCTACATGTCATGTGACAGGAAGTTGATGGATTGAGTCGTAGTGAACATGATGTTTGTCCGAGACGTGCGACCTTTAATATTTAAATGCAGTCAGAAATGCGGTATAAACTCTTGGCTTGATTCACGAGTGTAGGAACAGTAGATCTCGCTGTTGCCGGGAGTGTCCCCAGGCATCGTGATACCATAGGTTAGCGATGTAGGGGCCACCGTCCGTTCTGATCGAGCCGCCTGTTCCCTCCATCTTCTCTTCCGTTCGAGAGGGTTTACTCAGGAATAACGTCATGCATGGGGTAATAACTCACTAGCTTATATAATCTTCAGCCTAGCTCTAGACCCAGCATCGCGCTCGCCAATCTACCGCTCGTTTTATGTGTACATGAGTATTGTGTAGACCCTGCATGCGACCGGGAAATCGTCCGCGTTTGTTCGAAGTGATACCAGTAGCAGCCCATGGGGTGCTCCGAGTTCACTCGATGCGACGATTCAGATCGACAGGCTAGCATCCGAGTGGTTCGGCTTCCTACTGCGCTGAAGACCTAGGCCGTTTCACTCGCTGGTCCGATCGGAAGGAAAATCTAATATATCGCGACGATGATGCTATTTCCAGTACGCACCGAACTGGTGCTTTAGAGTATGCTCCATGGGTCGGCTATCTATATAGCGCAAACGCATCCGACCGTCGATCTTGGGTATGCACGCGTCTATTACTGCGACCATGTCGATTTGTACGGAAGTTAAACTGTGAAAGACTCATAGAAGCCATATTCAAACGCCTGCATTTTATGCTCAATGCGACACCCATAACGATTGGCTCCGACGATCGCCCAGTTCACAGTTTATCTGGATGCACTGGCCGTGAGTGTGCATATATCTGCAGCTTCCGATCCTTGCTTGACCGCATCAATGCGCACCGATATTTTGTAGATGGGTAGGGGTTGAACACGGTAGAGAAGTACCGGGGCTAGCAAGCACTTTGTTAGCATGCAACGCCGTCAAGGGACGGCATAAATGCCGCAAGCCCAGGTGCGCTTCTGTTCCCGTGTTCACACCCATGAGTTACAAAGAAACAGCGAGACCGATATTCAGCAAAGAGGCTGGTCTGCTCGTCGCTTTCTTGATGCATGCACTGTGTAGTTTGCTGGTGGAATGTCTTCTCGCCTAGCGCTAACGTCATCACCTTGGCAGCTGAGGGTATTGCTCCCATCGTCACTCATCGGATGAGCTGGTATTACGCCATAGGCTCCGTGCCTAGGTAGGTCCAAGGGCATCAAGTGTGATACTACGATGTATGCCGCATATGTCCTGTGAATAGTGTATTTATGTAGCAGTAGGCTGAAACCTTTTCGATGGCGCGCACACGACGTGCCTGCCAATCGCAGAGCTCGGACGTCGTTCCAGTGCTGATCATCCGGATCTGATCTGATGCAAATCAATCGTACTGTGTATTGTCAGCTCCTGTTGACGTAGAGCTGAAACACCAAAACAGGGACCCGTAGACCGTATCAGCGTACGTCACCTGATGCGTAGTGTGCAGTTAGGGTCGTTGGGCATAAGTGTGATGGTGTTGCTTCTAACCTTGACAGGGACGGGCGAACGAGGCGGAGCAGGTTCCGCGAGCACATGCCGAGCTAGATGTTCCGCCCATTGCCATGGACGATCGTCAAGTACGTGTACCCAATAGCTACCTAATGGTGCAGGGGAACCAACATGGGGCACTAGCTGAAATCTACGCGCTCCGCACTGAGGTGGTCGGCATCATTAGCTTACTTGTTGTTCCAGGCTGCACGGATACATGACCTACGCATTGGCGTTCGCAACGGAGCCGTGAACCATTATGTGTGGGTGGACGATGTTGTGGATGCGGTCAATAACTAAGCTGCTGGAGGATCTGGGGAAGGTACCCAGGCGTATTAGTAGCGGCTCTCAGGCGATGCGAGGTACATTATGCACACCTCCGACCGACGTTATTCCGGTAATGCACCTGGAAAACGACGGGCACATACTTTATATACTGTCGTAAGTTTCCCTGCTGTCTTGAGACTATACCACGTATTCGGACCTCCCACTGGCCGCTCATGCGGGCGTCATAGGTGTCTTCAGTAACAGTGGATAGCTTCAAGTACGTACCCAACTCTCATCCTCTTCCAGTGTCGTCATCTTTCTCGCATGAGAGCTATGGTGTGTGACAAATTTGCTGTAAGACGCTATGAGATGGCTGTCTAGGAATTCATCCGAAAAAGGGGATCTTCTAGAAGTAGTGGAGTCGGAAAACAAGGCGAGAGACGGGAAGGAGCGAGCATGATCATCAAGAATCCATTCATAGAATCTTGTCGCTTAAATCTCGGCGCAAAAGCCCGTTAATCTTGAGTTTGACGAGGTGGCTTCCGTAGTGGTGTGGTGTTTAAGACCGTCGCAAAACTAGTGAGCTCCATGAGTCGCATCACTACACGTCGACCGTGGGGCAGGGTCGCTCCGAAAGACAACAGAAGATGAGGAACGGAGGTTGTGGAGCGATTGAAGTGCTGTGTTTTCGTTCAGCAGAACGACTGTTGCACGTTTATATGTCTAATAACAGCAATAGCGGAAAGAGATGAGAGGGAGTGACTTCGCCGTCGTTCGCGAGTAATAGTGTTGAATAAGCGAAGCTAATGCTGCATGTAGGAGGTCAAGTCTTCAATGCATTGAAGGCAGTTACCAGCAAATTAATGTTGAGCTTGCCATTGCGCAGAAACTATTGGGCATGCGTACATGAACAGCTCCGAAAGGGGGCTTAACGATATGACAGCTCAATGACAGCTCACTGGTCAGGCAACCAGCGTTCGACAAAGGTCGTAAAGGCAGATAGTCGAATGGTTCGCGGCATGAGGCGTCTGTCACGGTGGTCACAGCTGTTATTCGCATCCACCGCGCACACTGACAGCCATTGTCAAACGTGACTGCAAGATGATCTGTTGATGCAGCGAATCTTCAGGGCATATTTGGAGCTGGTTCAAAAGATTGTTATGGATTTTATTTACGTCGTCAGTACTTACGTACGCGTGTACGCACGGCGCTCCGTAGAAGCGAGATGGAGTATGTGCCGGCTAAAAAGGCAGGGCGATGCAGACTTTGCAACTGGTAAGGGCGGAGAAAATTCGAGTGACGAAAAATTCTTGTGCATAGCCTGTACAGAGCCTGCAGTTAGAGCACATGTATTGGCAATCTACCGCGGAAGTTGGCGTGGCCAATCCGGTAACGAATGTGCGTATTGTTCTGTGCAAGAAGATGAAAGAAAGGGTCGTTTGTGAAACCCTGGTTCGAAAACATTTTGGTGCAGAGCTGTGCATGGGGTAGTTTGCCTTGCCGTAGATCCGGGGGTTTGATGTGTGTGATGGACGTTGCTGGTTGAACAGTTGGGAGATGCCGCATCTTGGAAACTCATGATGACGTTCTAGCATCCACGTGCGTGCCATGTGCTGA